AAGAATTGCTCGTTGACTTAACCAAGCATAATTCTGATAATTCTCACTAATGTCATTACTCGAATTTTTAATTACGGTGCGTGAAGTTCCAGCAGCTTGCATTAAGGCACGATGCCATGCACAACTAATTTACTTAGCTATAAACCTTGCGGAGCCCGAGACCTTTCCAACGAATGCAAAATTGTTGAAATCGGTTCGTGAGTTCTGGAGTTATTTCGTGAGGAAGGAAGACCCCACTTATTTTTATATATATGTAGACTAGAGATAATTTTGTTACAAAGCTGATGGTTGTAAAAACGTATATACTTTGTTTATGAGCGTCACGTAGAAGCTACGTCACATGCGTTTCGTAGATTTAACACGCAATGAAAATAGGTTGTGTCTTTTGTCCTAAACGATTTTTATGAATATTCCTGAAGTTTGTTAAGGAATTTTTTTAGGATTTTTTAATTAAAAGAGTTATAATCTAATTAATGCGGTGTGTGGTGACGGAGTGTAAATTGTTTTCACTTCTAAACTTAAGATAAAGATTAGCCCATTTCCAAAATATCAAGCAAATTGGAGCACAGTAAAAAAAATTCATAGGGCACACGTTTTTTTCCTCTCCATTTACTGCAATAATTTTGTTGATCGTAGGTTGAATAGAGCACATGCGAACAGGATTTGACAAATTAATTCACTTCAAATATAAACTTAAGTAATAATGTATATTTAATTATTAGTGAGAAAAATGTAATTTAGATATTAAAATTACTAAAAGCCAGTTAAAATATAGTACGAAATTATAAAAAAATATAGTCAACATTATTGAAGCAATTATTTTGGGTAGAAAAATCCTTTTACCGCGCATGCTATATATTAATTCTTTCTGAATTTGTTATACCTTTTAAAAGACTTCAATTTCCAATACGTATATATTATGCTGTAAATCACAAAGGCAAGCGATGATTTTTTGTGTGATAAATTTGGAAAATCAATGTTTTAGTCGTGAACAAACAAAAAACAATTCATTTATACATCCACATCTACAGGTATGACTAAAAATATTGGATAACCTTTAGCATTAAAATAAATTGAGCTATTGGAAATAAATTTGTTCTATAAATGGCAGAGTATAATTTTTAGTATACTATATTATTGAACATTTTTCAATATTTGTTAAATGGATAAATAAAGTGTTAACAGTGGGAATTGAGTATCATCATTTTATTTGAAACAGTTCTACATTCAACGTCATATTGGTGTAAATAGTAATTCGAAAAACAATAATTCGTATTTTTAACTGAACGGTAAATATTAGTATAGGATATTAAAAAAAACGTCGATGTGGGTACAGGACAACGTCTGTCGGGTCATCTAGTATATATATATATATATATATATATATATATATATTAAATTCTACCCTCCCGGGTTTCCAACCCCTGGCAACATTTGCCGCGTCATCTTACAGTCATTAGATGGAGCAGTCATCGTTGGCATCTCAACCCGTTTCCGAAACCATTTCTTTAGTAATTAATTTTTATACACTCTCCTTATACTACCCTCTTGAGAGTCAATACCCACTCCTCTCAAGAGTGGTTAAGTGTGTGGGTTGGCGAAATATATGAGGAAAAGGACGTTGAGGGCACTCGAAATTGGTAATCAAAAGATAGTAAACGAGTAGTCTGGAGAAAATTATTTTGATATATATATATATATATATATATATATATATATATATATATATATTCAAAGGAATGTAAGATGTAAGTGGCATTTGGATTGCAGATCAATTAAAAGCACCTTCATGCAACACTCGTTTCCTCATATTGATCCTCCAGATTATTATTTTAAATTTTACTCTAGTATTCCAAGTGAGTTTTGGGTTGTTAGCTTTTTTCAAAAGGATGATGTCTTCAAATCCTTTTCTACAAATCCCTTCAGTACATAAATAACCCCAGATTCGACTTTGTTCAAATCTTGTTCAGCAAATCTTGTCAAGACGATAAAAATCCTTTAGTTGATCCTAAACATACACTACACAGTTGCTGTTTTTGAAAATCTTTTTTTTAAATCAACATTTTTAACTTTCCGTATGGCAGTTATAGTAATGGGCCAAAAATCAAAAATTGCCCCGTATCTTCGAAACGGCTAGACCTGCCCCCGCCAAAAACTAATCAGCACGTCTCTTTATAAATGCGAATTGAATGTTTTTTGAATTATTCAAATCGGTTGAACCGTATTCCTGAATGTACCCACACGCACACACATACATCCATTTTTCTAAGGTATGCCAAAATGTTCAGAAACCTCTGAAACGTAAAGATATATAAAAATTTTCATTTTCGATTTTTTGCGATTACTACAACTTACCCTACGGGAAGTTAAAAAGTTCAAAATTTTTAGAAAAATCCTAAGTTTTCTATACTGTGCTTTAGAAAATTTTAAATCACAGTACGGGAAGTTCCAGCAATTTACCTTAAGGCACGATGCCATGCACCACTAGTCAAAATATCTAACTACTACATATATATATTATCTAGTTTTTACTAACGTAAACAAATTATAATGTCCGAGATAAAAATTAAAAGTTATTTGAACAAAAGCAACAAAATGTACCAAATCCATATATTTCAAATTATGTAAATACTAAAGTCCGCATTTCAACTACGAATTATTCCAAATTGTTATATACAAGTGTATGAAAGAGTTCTTACTAGATTCTAGTAAATTTTATCTAGTTTTTATTAATGTAAACATATTACAATGTCCGGAATGAAAATTAAAAGTTATTGGCAAAAAAACTAACAAATTTTAATGTCTCAGAAGAAAATTAAAAGTTATTTGAACAAAAGTAACAAAATGTCCTAAATTCATCTATTGGTTTTTTAATTTTCTACTTAATTTATATTTATTTTTGTATTATAATTTATAATGCCTAAACGACGACCTAAGAAGTCGAGACAAGTTAATGAATAATAAATAATAATAATAATAATCTTAGGTTTTAGTAATAAATATTTCAAAGTTTTCATATAGTAAATTTTATTTTATATAAAATTTTCATTTTATTCATATAAAATCAATTTTCATTAAAGTCTTTTAATTTATAAACCTGTATTTCTAATACTCAATATAAAAATCAATACTAACAATAATAATGGCCTCATCGAAATTCATTTTTAAAACATGGCACACAAGTATGCATTCCCAAATCAATATAATAATAAATGAATTATTATTAATTAAATTATAAATAAATTATTACAAACTAGCACTTACCCGTAAACTTGGAGATTTTCATAAAACACTACACAAATATTACTAAACACTATTAAAAATATAAATTTCACAATAATACTTTTAACTTGCACAAAGACTATCCACTAAATGACTGAATCACAAATTCAACAAAAATGTTGTTACATAATTACTAGTATTGGCTAAAATTGCCTGAAATTGAAATTGATACTTTTGATAAAATATTCTTATCAGAAGTTCTCAATTTTAAAAGACAACTGTTTATTAAATATTTTTGTAAGTAAAAATGAAAAAATAAAATTAAATGGCAAACCCTATATATACATATACGAGACTTTATTTTTTATTATTTTTGCAAATAATAAATTAAAATATGCATTTAGATAACACTTTTAATTTTACATATTATTTACTTTTTGTTATATTATTGTTTCTGATAAATAAAAAGACAAAATAATAATGAAAATGCTATTTGTTAATAATAATAACAAAAAAATAAGAAAAACATAAGAGATTTTAATTGCATCTTAAATTATTAATCGCAAAACCGAAAAAATTCGACAAAAAAATCTACAGAATTTTTTTCACTAAATATTATGCAGTAAAATGTGGTAAAATAGGACTAATTAAAAATCGTATATTTTTATTTACTTAAAAGGTAATTTAATGTTTTAACATACAAATCTATATATTTTCTTGTGAAATTAATTTTAGTAAATGGTTTTAATTATTCTTATATAATCATTTGATAACTAGAAATATATAAGCCTTTCATATTTATTTGTTTATAATCTTTGTTTTGCATCTCTATTATTGTTTCTATTTTAATTACTTTTTTAAATTTTTATTTTTTTGTATAGACGTCACACATTAGCTCATAGTATATTTTGAATTCTAAATATAAATAAAAGAAAAAAAATTACCAAAAATGACTAAAATAAATTATTTCATACACATTGGTACAATGTACAAAACAAATTTAACTTTTTTTTTGATGATTTAAAATGCAGGAGCATTTTATGAAATTGGATACAATTTTATTTTAAACTATATTATTTGTTTGTCTTTATTAAAAAAATAATAAAATAAAATCAACTGTACTCTTAGTGTTCTGTTAATATATATAATAATATTTTTAATTACAATTACAAGGTGTAAAATTATGAAGGATAATTTTAACAAAAATTTAAAAAATATTTATTCATATAATTATCTATTATATTATTTATAATTATAATGGATCAAGTTTTAGATTATTTGAGTCGCTAATAAGCTTAAAAAAGGACTTAGAAAATTTATAAATATTAAGCAGTTTTCTGGAAAAAGTCTCTTAAAAGTTTCTTATTGGATTCCTTAAGAATAAAACTAAAAAAAAAACAATTCAATTAATTTATTTCTACCTTTATGAAAAAAATGGACATAGACCAATTAAAAAAAAATCTACAGAATTTTATTTACTAAATATAATGCAGTAAAATGTTGTAAAATTATGAAATTCAAGTATTTTCTTAAAGCTGTTTAAAAGTTAAAATAAGCTTAAAAAAAGGATTTAGAAAATTTATAAATATTAAGCACCTTCCTGGAAAAAGTCTGGGAAATTTCTTATGGGATTCCTTAGCAATAAAACTCATAAAAAAACAATTCAATTAATATATTTCTACATTTATGAATACATCATAATTCTGTCAGAAAACCTTAACAAATATAAAATAAAAGAAATATTAAATTAATGATTAAATTTATCAATCGTACTTGCTTTTGTCATATCATTCCTTCTTATATCTCTTTATAAAACACCCCAAAATATACAAATTTATACCAAAAAACACCAAACTCTGTATCCAAATATACAAAAAAACCTCCAAATTTTTAAACTCAAGCAAATACGCCGGAACCAACCAACCAATTTGTCCAAAACCCCACAAACCACCAAGTTTCACATACTCTAACCACTTTAAATCCAATTTACCCAAACTTAGTGGTAATAAGGATAAATACCAGACAAAATATTGGCTGGTAACCACCGGATTGTAGGCTACCATCACAAAAGCTTGGCAGAAAAGACAAAAATTTATGGATTTGTGGTAACTGAAACTTAGGACTAACAAGAGTGCAAGTTGGGGTAAAAATGTTAAAAGTTTTTCCCATATGTTGACTTGTAATTCAGCACTTAAATACAACATGTAGAAGTAGACACTAAAATTGTGTCTGGTATCTTTGCGTACCAAGTGATATAAATAGGTTTCGTATAAAAATTCATAGCCGTACAAAAAATAAAATAAACTGGTGAGTGCTAATAAAGTTCCAGTGCATCCGAGGACTAATTGTACTTGTTTTTTGTTAGGTATAATATTTTTACCAATGTGCAAGTACATTGGTAAACTAAAAACCAAGGGGTACAACCGAAAATGTATGGCTAAACCGTGGAACAAACCACAAACCAGCATTTTTTCACGCCCCAAAAAATATACAGCAAGCAGTACAAATAGGACAGAAATCCCATCAGCGTTACCCCTGGTGGATATACCGATTGCCAAAGGATTATACAACCAAAAACAAGCACCAAGCACCCCATATTTGGTTTTAGCACCCACAATTTTTTTAATCAAAATTGCAACCACCAGATCAATCAGGGCAAACAAGAATTTACCAAACGTCTGGTGCAAAAACAGATTTGGTGTCAACAAAAACGCTAACAAAGGTGTGTATCTATACGTGTGCCTCAAATAAGGCGATGAAAAATTACTAATATAACGTGCAGCATCTGTAAAAACCTTATAATCAATATCCGTATAGGGTACTGATGAAATTTTATCATGATATTCGCTGTAAAGGATCAACAAAGTGCGTATCACAAAAGCTGTGAGCAAATGTGTACCAAAACTTTGTTGCCAAAACTTCAACATGGTAATAAAACTTAAATCCTAATTTTACTTTTACCCGCAGCTTTTTGAAAACACTTTTTAAGCTCCAAAAATTCCTTCAAACACCTATCTTTATCAACGTTAAAATCCTTACAAACGCATTTGGCGTAAGTCGTTGCCTGAGTACTACATTCGCTTAAAAAAACTGGATATTGACTCAATCTCGATTTGGCTTTTCTGACAGAATCCATGTGTAAATAATTAACTAATTAATTATAATTGATATAAATGATTTTATTTAATTATTTTGTTGTTTCTGGTGTCGTTGTTGGTGCTGGCAAATCGGGCAAAGGTTGTTTTCGTGCATCCAACCAGCTTGTGAATTGGTTTATTGAATCTTTTATAAATATTGAGTAAAAAATGTCGCCGAAAAGGAATACCATAGAACCTGGATAAATGATACATACTTATATATATATATATATATATGTATATATTAGGGTGGTCCTTAACATGGACATTTTCAAATTTTTTTACTCCCAAGGGCTCAAATGGTTCCAAATAGATAAAAAAAAGAGTGCGCGTAAGGATCACACGCAAAACTTATTTGCTACTGTATAAAGTAGCAAATTTAAGTTGAGTAAAAATAAATACATCTTATAAAAATTTTCAATGATGTTTATTAGTAATATGGTAACACTCGTGATGCACACATTTATTAGTGTCGTCAATCATTATACACATTTATATAATGATAAATTATAAATTATATATTTATGATTGCATTAAAAATATGTATAATATTTATAAACAATAATGTAATCAAAGTCGTACTTGAAATATGACATGATCGTTTTAAAGTAATTGCTGATTAATAAATTCTATAATATTCGTTCACACAGTGGATTATGTTAAACAACGCCTAAACAAATATTGTTTTTGCAAATTAACTCATCATGTAACAATTGTGTTTGAAGAACTTCATGTAATTAAAATTAACATACATTCATTTACTGTTTGCATTTTTTTACTTTTTCGCTGACGATATAATCTCATTCCTTGAACAGCTGTAATATGCGTCTTGCCTAACAAATTGAAGCCATACTTTTATACTTGTTTTATTTATCAAGCCCTGAACATAGCTTGATCTATGAATCATTTGCTTTTTTATGTGAACGTCAATGCAATAATCATCATCAATATTACGAGGTAATAAATTAACCATATTATTAACGTCAACCAGCACATTTATAATTTGGCCAAATATTCCAAATTATCCATTTGCATGAAACACAACCTACGTGAAATTAACCTTTCAGATACAGTATCTAGTTTAGATGAATAATTTGGTATAGATGGAAATACAAACCCGTTAAATTTACACAAAGTGGGAATTTTACCCGAATTTAATGCCTTTCGACAAGTTTGACATCCAACCTGATTATTTGAATCAATATTCAAAAAACATTATTAAGAATTTGTTTTTGAGCATCATTTGATATGTGGGAGATTGGCAGGTCGCGTCAATTTTAGTAAGCGAGAGAAAAATAATAATTGACATTGAGTTTTGTTGGATCATTTGTTTTGAACAATGTAAAGTTTTGGTTCAGATAAATTTATGAAATTTATCACGGTATAAACGAATAAATGTTTTATAATCGGCAAATTGTTTGATTTCCGATAGATATTTCTAAGTCACTTTGAAGCCAAAGTCGAGCACTCACAAAAAATACATAGCCAAATCTATCATTTCTTACGCAGCGCAGATTTTTCCTTAGTTTCATTATTTATTTGCGATCATTTGCACTACAATTATTTATGGGGGACGGGATAAAATATTCTTCCGATCCTGACATTTTTATTAACTAACGAATTATACTGCTAACCCATGTCGCGCCTAAAGAAGTTTTACTTCAAAAACTATTCTCTGGAAGTTTTAGCTTTAATATTAAGTTTTAGATAGAGCGCAATTCAATCAAAGTTTTGTATGGAAATAGCATGGAAAAATTTTCAAAAATTTTAAAAATATTTTTAGATGTAATTTAGCGAACAAATAAATGAATAAAACTTATTCATTTGTCACTAAGTTATACCTAAAACATTTTTTTTAAATTTTCAAAATATTTTCTACGCTCTTTCCATACGAAGTTTGATTGAATTGCGCTCTATCTAAACATTAATATTAAGAGCTAAAACTTTCAGAGAATTGTTTTTTATCAATTTGGAACCATTTGAGCCCTTGGGAGCAAGGAAATTTGAAAATGACCATTTTAAGGACCACCCTAATATATAATATATATATATATATATATATATGTATATATATAACTAAATGCTAATTACAATGACAAACCGTTCATGTCATATTTGAAGTATAACTTTAATTATAATGGTTAACATTAATAAATGAGTGCAAAACGAGTGTTACCATCATATTACTAATGAAAATTATTCAAAATTGTTATACGATGTATTTATTTTTACTTAAAAGCCATCTTGTACAGTAGCAAATAAGTTTTACTACAATTGAGTGTGAACCTCATGCGACTCTTTTTATTAATTTGGAAGCATTTGAGTCCTTGGGAGCAAAGAAATTCAAAAATGTCCATATTAAGCACCACCATAATTTATATATATATATATATATATATATATATACAAACAAATTATTTATTTACCTCCGACAACTAAATTAGCAGTCAATCTCGGATTCTTAAGATACCAAGGAACATTCTTCCTAATCAATCTGCGATGACGAGGTTGTTGTTGTTGGTTCTGGTTCATTATTATGCAAAATTAACTAAATTTTAATTAATACACCAAATATTCAAAGTGCTTTCACTAATACCTCAGGATTTATGGTCCAATTTATAAGGTATTTTATTATTCTCAACAGTCGATGATGTTGATGATGTCTCTTTTTCAGTTTTGATACCGTTGCAGACAAAGGATTTTGTGCCCCACTTGACGCAGCATAAACGCATCAGTTCTATGACATCAGTGCAGGCTGATTCTTGGAAATTGTTCTCTGGGTAATAAACACGTAATGTAATACATATACAAACATATATATATATATATATATATATATATATATATATATATATATATATATATATAAAATTAGGCAACTCGAGTGAATCAATATCTATTGTGCAACTTGTATTGTAAGTCCAATAAATGTTTTATAGTATATATATATATATATATATATATATATATATATCTTGATATTGTTTTTTTCGACTTTGAAACATTATAGGATACAGTTTTGCAGCCACAAGTCGAAAAATAAAAGATTTATATTTACGTTCTGGTTTTATTTTTCGACTTGTGGCTGCAAAACTGTATCATATATATATAATATATATATATATATATATATATATATATATTTTATATATATATATAATATATATATATATTTATATTTATTTCAAATTATAACCTAAAACTTACCGCTCAAGCACTTTTGTATCATACAAGCATTTGCTTTACAAGGATCCTTGGAACGCATATGAATATTTGTTACATTTAACTAAATTAACAACTAAATATTTATTTATTAACTATTCAATAGTTATTTATTATATTATTATAAATAATTTGTGTCTATTATTACTTATTAGATAACATAAATCTAATCTTTTGACAGTTCTTTTGAGGTTATGTTTCTCCTCTAGTGTCACCTGCTACAACTTCACCATATTGAATTCAGGGGCGCGGAATTCAAATATTCAAATTAGATAAAGTACATTTCAAAGTAGATTTTTATTTTTAATAAAATGTATTTTTGACACATTTTGAAAATGTTTTATAATAAAATTACTATCGTATTTTTTGTAAATGTGGTTTTTAATTTGAGCACTTGGATAAATGATTAAATTTGTGTTCTTATCTTGTTGAAGATAAGACGCACCTTAAAAAAGAATTTATTTGATAAAAATTTGTACTGTTTGAACTATACACATATATATATATATATATATATACTAGTAACGCTATTTTTTTAAATTATAATGTCACAAATGAAAAAGTGGCTAAATCTTAATTCTTATTATCATAAGGCACAATGCCACTTATGCCTAGTTTATTCAGAAGAAAAGTACAATTAAGAAAGAGGATCATAGTATTCTAGATCCTCCCCCCACAAAGTAATACCTAAGGGCTAGGTTTTAGTCGGTATTTTACCTAGGCGGTATATGAAGCCCGACGTACCCATACAAAAGACCTAGTCTGGTAAGTGTAAATGCATTTGCTTCGATATACAAAATTACGAAGTTTATTTTTATATTTCTGATCAATTAATATGCAAACATAAAATATATATACTAATGTATAATGTACCCAAATTAAAAAATACTGTAACGTATCAAAGATATTATTATTAACTATAAACTATAGTCTTTTATAAAATCAATAACTCCATTCCCTAAACTTTGTTATTTTTGAAATCAAAAAGTTTTTCCTCGTATTTTAGGGCCCACTCTTTTCTTTATTCGACAGCATCTGTTTTATATAATAATTCTTCGTAGTTTTCTCAAGAAAATGACCCTCGTCAAACTTTTTATAAGACGACAGAACTAGTCTTGTACATTTACTAACCGATATTTTGTCCTTTGAAGATTTCGTAAAAATTATATAAAAATAATCGAAACAAACTTTTATAAAAAAAGAGTGTGCGTAAGGATCACACTCGATTGAAGTTAAACTTATTATTTGCTACTGTACAAGATGGCATTTAAGTAAAAATTGATAAATCATATAACAATTTTGAATAATGTTTATCAGTAATATGATAACACTCGTAATGCACACATTTTTATTAGTGTCAACCTTTATACACATTCAATTTATAATAGCATTAAAAATATGTATAGTATTTAAAAACAATGATGTAATTAAAGTCATACTTCAAATATGACATGGTCGGTTTGTCATTGTAATTAGCATTTAAATTTGAACCTTTATTAAAGAAATGAAGCAATTGCTGATTAATACATTCTATAATATTCGTTCACACAGTGGATTATGTTAAATAACGCCTAAACAAATATTGCTTTTGCAACTTCACTCATCATGTAATAATTGTGTTTGAAGAACTTCACGTAATTAAAATTAACATGCATTCATTGATTGTAATTTTTTTTTACTTTTTTCCAGACGATATTCAATTTGCACGTCAGTAGAGTCCTTTTTTTAAATCTTATATATAAAAATTATTCTTTTTTTTTATAACCTTGCTCGTCAGCAGAATCCCCTTTTCAAGTCATTCCATGCAAATAATCCTCTCAGCTCCTACAATTTCCTTTCCGAAACTAATTTAAAGTTATCAATAGGAAAAGTACTATTTTGTACCTGTTCTCCCCGGTCTCCCCTGAAAATCGCTAATTGCTTTCGTTATTCATTTTAATTAGTTGCAAACGACTCTATTTTGTCTCGTCAAAGTTTTGCAGAAAATGCCATTTGTATTCGTACAAGTTTATTCGTGTAGTAGGAGATGGATAAACTTTATTACTTGTTGATGACGATGGAAAAGTTTACGAGGAGGAAATTGAATTATTATTAATGAACTGTTTATTTTCAAACACGACAAATAAATAAATAAATAAATATATATATATATATATATATATATATATATATATATATATATTTATATACATATATAACATGTTAAAATGTTAGCAAGGTAAATAGGACGTAATACCAAATAGGATATAACAAATTTATAAAAATCACTTGGTTATTCATTATACATTTTGTAATGTACTCATTTATTCAAATGTTTAATTATTTCAATTTATTTATTATTTAAGTTTAAAAAAAACTATAATCAATAGTATTGATCCATCATATTCAAATTTCAATCCGTATTTTATTTATTTTTGGATTGATACAAATTTTTTATAACAAAAGGTTTGAAATTTGGTTGTCAAGCGGATTCAACTTTCAATCAGGTGAATTTTAATAAGGGCCGTTGCAAAGCAAGGCTGGGTATGCTAGTATATATATATATATATATATATATATGAATATATATACCCTATAGGGCAGGGTCGTGAGAGTTGAGTTACTCCAACTGAATTCAGGGAAGAAAAGTGTGAGAAATTGTTCTTATTGCTATTGCAACTTCAGAATATCCATAGAAGATTAGAAAAAGAGACTCTACTAACGAGCAAATTGAATTAACTAAAAGAGACTCTACAAACGAGCGAACTAAATTTCGATCTAGAATATTAAAAAAGGGACTCTACTGACGAGCAAACTTTAATTTTGATCTAGAATAGAAGAAGTGTCTCTACAGACGAGCAAACTTAAATTTTGATCCAGAAGAATAGAAAAAGGGTCTCTACTGACGATCCAAAAGATTAGAAAAAAAGACTACCGACGAGCAAACTAAATTTTGATCCAGAAGATTTAAAAAGGGACTCTACTGACAAGCAATCTTTTAATCCAAAAGATTAGAAAAAAGACTCTACTGACGAGCAAACTTAAATTTTGATCCAGAAGATAAAAAAAGGCACTCTACTGACAAACCAAAATTGTTATCCACAAGATCAAAAAAGGACTCTACTGACGAGCAAGCTTTAATTTTTATCCAGAAGATTAAAAAAAGGAACTCTACTGACAAGCAAACTTCTTGAACCAATACTTTCTAATTTTTTGATCCAAAAGATTAGAAAAAAAAACTCCACAGACGAGCAAACTTTAATTTTCATCCAGATAATAAAAGGGAATGTACTGACAAGCAAACTAATTTCTAGCAAAATAAACTTCGACCCAGAAGATTAAAAAAGGAACTCTACTGACGAGCTAATTAACTAATTTTGATCTAGAACAAAAAAAAGGGACGACAACGAAAAGAGACTCTACTGACGAGCACACTTTAATTTTCATCCAGATAAAAAAGGGACTCTACTGACAAGCAAACTAAATTTCGACAGAAGATTGAAAAAGAGATAATAAAGACAAGTTAACTTTAATTTTGATCCAGAAAATTGAAAAGGAGACTCTACTAACAAACAAACTAAATTTCGACCCAAAAGATTAAAAAAAGGACTCTACTGACGAGCAAACTAAATTTTGATCCAGAAGAATAGAAAAAAGGTCTCTACTGACGATCCAAAAGATTAGAAAAAAAGACTCTACTGACGAGCAAATTTCAATTTTGATCTAGAAGATTGAAAAGGCGATAATAAAGACAAGCTAGTTTTAATTTTGATCCTGATAAAAAAGAAACTATACTGACGAGCAAATTCTAATTTTGATCCAGATAAAAAGGGATTCTACTGACAAGCAAATTCTAATTTTAATCCAGATAAAAAGACTGTACTCACAAACACAAATTAAAATTGATCCAGAAGATTAGAAAAAATAACTCAACTGATGAAATTGAATTGTATATATTTTCCAAATTAAAATAATAAAAAAATTGGCCCCAAAATTTATAAAAAGGATTTAGAGTTTGACAATCCTTTAGAAAAGTATATTGTTTCTTAAAGTAAAATTCAAGCTTTTTTAAAACTCAAAAAAAAATCGGAACAAAAATTAAGTCAGTATAAAAAATGACTCAATTACTAAAATGACTTTTACTAATATCGGTTTGTAGTAGGAGGGTGAAAATTTAGGGTAGTATTAATATTAATAATAATATAATATAAAATGCATCATTTTCTAATATACATTTTATATTTATACTTTTATATCCATTTTACAGTCAAATATTGAGCATGATACAATAGCCACAGCGTTCAGCATATTCCCATATATTTATAATAAATAGAATTTATATATATATATATATATATATATATATATATATATATATATATATATATTTAAATTATCCTAAGCACATTTAGAGTCAAAATATACAATGCAATATATTTATATTTTATTGCACGTTTAGAATTATTTGTATATCTTATTTTCTAGAGATCAAACTATGACTGCGAGGCGAAAACATTTTTATTAGAAGCAAAAAAATCGATTTATACGATAAATGATATTTATCTATTTATTTAATATCTAAAATGAATACTAAAAATAAATAATGTAAAGAAGTCAAAAATTTTATTAAAAATTGTTTTGATAATTTTTTAGTGAATGTTAATTTTATATAAAAAAGTTTTCATTATGAAGTTTCTAGGTGCTTTAAAGTGTAGGTTGTTTTCCAATTTTTTTATTAAATTTATCTCATAACCTTTGCATGTATTTCTAATAATTTATTTACAAAACAAAATGAGAATTAAATAACCCTTCAACACGTTTCAATTAATTCTTAAATTTCAAGTGCGATTTTAAAGTATACCGAGTTGCTGTAGGTCATTATAAGATTAGACAATATCAAATATTATTTAATTTTTTATAAGTTTGTTAGATATTTCATTTAAAAAAGACGAACGGCTCCAAAGTTACAATACAAATTTAAAACAACAAACACCAAAAATTCCCCATTGTCACAATTAATTTTCTGTTATCAATAGCGATTTTAAAGTATACCGAGTTGCTGTAGGGTCTTATAGTGTTAGAAAACATGTAAGAATATTTAATTTATTTAAAATTTGTCAAATATTTTATTTATATATTACTAACCGTTTAAAAGTTACAAAAAATATAAAAAATGAATGCACGATTAATGTTCATGCTATAACTCCTTTCAGTGCTTTCTCAATTTTAATTATTTTAATTTTAATTCTCAATTTTAATTATTTTTATTATTTTAAAATTAATTCTCAATTTATTAGCGATTTTAAAGTATACCGAGTTGCTGTAGGGTCTTAGTGTTAGAAAATATTAAATATGACTTCATTCTTTAAAAGTTTGTTAAATATTCCATTTCAATTAGACCAAAGGTTCAAAAGTTACAATAAAAATTTAAAACAATGAA